TGAAGCAGATGAATTCTTGGGCAGGCAGAACTTCACAAAATATTATAAATCTAATTAAAGAGGCAACTTCTAACATGAATGCCACAACTCGTATTAAGGTCGCTCCTTATTATGAAGAATAATTGAATCCTCAGAAATGTATATATTTTTATATGTATTGGGAGCAAAGGTGAAAGAACTCTATGAACTCTATGAACTCTATGGTCCCCTGGTATCTGCGTACACGTTTTGCAGAGAGGAGGGAGTTCTGACTGCAGGACAGAGGCAGCAGTGGAGATGTTGTCACACCAGGAAGTCGTATGTGAGCCAGAGTGAACGTGTCACATCTCCACGAGCATCTTCACTATGGAACGTTTTCTTTTCAAAGCTTGAGTAATTGCAGTTGAGTAGGTAAACCTGCCCCACATTCCCCAGCATGAACACCAAACACCAAGTCCTTTCCGACAGATATGCACTGCACTTCACTTTAGATCTGAGTTCACTGAGTCAGGAGGATCTTTCTAGGTCAGTGAAACAGACCGTAGCAGTCATAGTAGCAATTTACATTTCAGATGTACTGTAGCTTCCTCTATCTCTCAGAGATAGGTTATCTGTTTGTTCATTGGAGCAAAGTCCTTGTTTCATGTCTTATGCATGACTAAACCACATGCAAGTGGTACATGTTTCATTCTACAAGTGAGAAATTAAGAATGCATTTCTATTTTTAACCAGAATAAAATAGTTAAGCATTCTTCAATATCAGCTCATGCACACACATTAACTCTAGTAAGGAGACTATTTTTGTCGATTGAAAACTTTGCAGACCACACTTAAACTATTTAAGTGTTATTAAACATTATTAATCTTAAATATGTCAGGGCTAAGTTACTGTATACATTTAAAAATATAGATATATATAATATACATGCAAATAGTGAATGTGTACCCGAGTAGTGCTCTCACAGAAACTGCTTTCACAAATCAGAAGTATGTGAATTACTTGTTTTTATTTCCATGAGCCAAACCGCTGCACCCATCAGCTTCTCATTACTGACTTCTGCCAGCCCACACTAACCATAATTGATCGAGGTTCGAGGCAGAGGCATAATTATTCTGAATAATAGAGCTGTATTATATATGGAAACGAGAGATAGAGAGAGAGGAAAGAGAGAGGAGCTGAGCTGATAGTGTGTTGGGGGGGAGTGGCATGAAGTGGAAGTTTTCCCTTATAATGTGCCTTCAAATGTTCACTATAGAGTGGGAAAGAGTCGCCCTCTGCTGGCACGGTTGGAGAACAATGGAAATCTAAATTCATGGGGGCAAACATGTCAAATATTTTGTATTTGTTTTGTAAAACGTTTTCAAAGCTTATTATTTTTGTTTTGCTCATTGTGATTGGGTTGCATTTACGTCCATGTTTAATTGCTTGCAGTGTCTGATTGAGCACGGCTGAACTCCATGGTGCTTAAAAGCCAGTTGTACGTCAGTACAAAAGTGTTTTAATTGTTGGCTGGTATATTGTCCTACCTATACAAGTGCCTCTGTGCATGTACACAAGGGCAAACAAAACATGGAGGCGCTAATAAAAACTGCAACACTGTTGGTCATAACATCACAACCTTTTGAGCTAACCTTGGAAAAATCTGAATGACAAATACTCCTTTACTTTTTTAAATAGCTATGTGAGTGTTCCTCACAAATGGTTCCTGTATGTCTTATATTCATTTTTTAAGATATGGTCCGAATGGAATTCTTTTTATAACAATGTGTTTCCATATTGTTTCTGAATAGGCCTGCATAAGACACGCACAGCTTTGTATCTGTATGGTTTAGAGTCACAATCTATGAGTGTAGATGAGATATGTATTCCACATTAGACAAGATCAACCCTCAGCTTGTTCAAACTAATCATATGTTAAGATCCATTGAACCTTTTACACATTTGCTGCTGAAACCTTACAGTGCGCGGTCAGAACTACTTCCTACTACAACATCAAGCCACTAGATGGAGACATTGATCCATTTATATCCAGTGATCCAACATTAGATCTCTTTTTCTCGTGGTAACATGTCAAATGTAGTGACTTCAAAATAAGCTTTTAAATATAAAAATTAGGAAATAAGATTAGAGTCAGGGGTTTTTCACGTTTATTCATTTACAGAGGTGTTTCAGAAATGATTGCTAAAAGCACATACAAAAATGATAATAACCACTTAAGGCTTAAGGCTTAGTTTATACAATTATTGTCATAAATGTATAATGAAATGGAAATGTATAGTGGTGATGCATTTATGTATAATGTCTATCTTTCAAAATGAAGTGTAGCTTAAACTTTTGATGCTATGAGTTCTGACAGGGAAATACAATCTAAATATAATTGACTAAGTTCAATAAAGATTGGAAAACTAATACATTAATTCATTTATATAAGCGATGCTACGGATGAAGCTTGACATGAAATAATATTAGGCAACATTTAGAATATGAGATTATAATCAAGTGGCATTTTCCCCATTACTGTTATTGCATTGTGCCAATTAAAATGTCACATAATAATGTTCCTCTCAAGAATGAATGGTGAATTATGGATTGAATTAACTCTCTTTTACTGCTTGAGATGTGTTAAAATCCAACTTGGTGTAATTAGGGGGAGCGTATGTAATGCAATAAAGAATAAATAGAGAAATGTTTGAATGTCATCAGATTAAAAAACATAAAAGTATCACCAGAACTATTTTTCTTCCTGACCTGCAGTGGTGGAAAAAGAACTCAGATCTTATACTTACGTAAAAGTAATAATACCACAGTGTAGAAAGTAAGTAAAAGTCATGCATTCAAAATGCTACTGAATAGCATAGCTAGTAGCAAAAGTATTAGCAGAATAATGTACTCAAGTACCAAAGTACCAAAGTACCATCTAGTATCTATTAGTACTCATTTATTTTATATTAAATGTTTAAAATTATTGATGCATTCAGGAGTCTATAATTGTAATATTGCAGTTGGTAAAGGACCAATAACTTTTGGTCAAATAAATGTAGTGAGTAATAAATACAATATTTGATGGCAAAATTTAGTGGAGCTCAAGTATAAAGTGGCATGACAGGAAAATACTCAATAAAGTACATAAGTAGTCAAAGTCAAAAGTCAGAGTCAACTTTATTTTCAATCTTTCAGTTTGTGTGTACAGCCAGAGATATCGAAATACCGTTTCCCACAATCCTGGATACAAAAATACAAATATATATAAAAATATGTATAACATATATCTTATATATACACAATCAACAGACACATGTATACATATGCACACACTAAGACATAAATTAAACCTGTATGTTTCACAGATAAGACCAACAACAATCATGCTACATGTGGTTATGTATCCTCCAAATTCCTCCTTTGTTATTTATCTATATTGTGTGAGCGGTGCCTTCCGTGACACCCTGTGGATAGGACAGGGTTTCTGACTGGGACTGTGGGGGGGGGGGGGCGGTCTCAGTGGAATATCCCTGTGACAGAGCCTCTGTGGCTGCCTCTGCTCACAAAGAAAGCCGAGGATACATTTTTCCCACTCTTTCACTTTCTCTCTCTCGGTTATCTTTTTTGCTTCGTCATATTGCTAACACAAAGCTTGAGTCTGTTCGAATAACAACATGTTCTCCTCTCTCCTAATAATAGAGAATATCTTGCAAGGGAAATATCACAATGACTTTATCCTAATCTCTACTGGTTTGAACACTAACGTTATCGCCATCTGAAAGATGTTCAAAACGAACCCACCTCACCGTCCACGCCGAAGCCCTATAAAGTTCACATCTCCTCCTACCGTGATGCTCTCCAAGCCGCCAAATCTGCCCACTTCTGCCACCCTCATCGACAGCACNGACGTTTTATGGCGATATTATCATACCGTGAGTTTTTGGTATCATTATATCCCTACTAAAACAGTGAAAAAGGTGCTCAGACAAACAGTCCTCTTTGTGACACAAAGAGGACTGTTTGTCTGAGCACCTTTTTCACTGTTTTAGTAGGGATATAATGATACCAAAAACTCACGGTATGATAATATCGCCATAAAACGTCCACGGTACGATATTTATCGCGATATTGAAAAATAAAGAAAAAAAATGTGAATCTTTTTTCTTTATTAAAAAATAAATCTGATTTCTTCAGCATTTTAGTAGGATAGTAGTATTTTAAAGTTTCAACAATATAAAAATCAGACCCTGCAATAGAATAAATCTAGTTTCACTTTAGTTTTTCAAGTAACCCAACTCTAACTCACTAACTCACTCACTCAGCATCATCAAGGTTATCTTTTAGGAATATGAGCATGTCCACATTTCCAGGTAGAAGCTGGGATGTTTGGGCGTTTACAATATCCCCTGCTGTGGAAAAAACTCTCTTGCTTGGTACTGATGTTGCTGGGACAGAGAGATATGCTTTGGCCATGGGTGACAGCAGTGGGTCAAACTGTGCATTGTCTCTCCACCACTTCAAAAACAATACAGTTTTTGCCAAGAAGGTGAGGCTTATTGACAGGGCGAGATATAAATATACTGTTGGTACTTGTCAATGTCTCTAGGTATGTACATGTAGCCCTGTAAATACGAAGTCCTTTTGTGTTATCTGTTGTTTTATGTTCATGTTTTAACCTACTTGCTGCCATGTTGGACAGGTCCCCCTTGAAAAAAAGATTGATGATCTCAATGGGACCATCTGGTTAAATAAAGGTTTAAAAATATATATATTATAAAAATTTTTTAAAAAAAATTATAAAAAAATATTTTGTCAGTCTCACGGCGGTATTGAGACATTTATTTACCGCGATATTCGATATATCGTTACATCCCTACTGTTTAGTAAACTACAGTAGCCATGAGAGGGAGGTTTAGCTCAGAGATTCAAACTGTTTTTAATTATTTGTTGTGTTTTCAGGAATAAGATAACGTGGGTGGTGATGGCAGAAAATAAAAGGTTTGTTAAATGTATTGAGTTGGTGTTGTGTTATGTCCACCTTTGGCTTCCAGCTCCATTTTCTTTTTCCTGGCCCAGATATTATGATAATTCTCTGCAAGCAGCTCTGCCATAGCCTGGAGAAACACAATGTTAAACACATGACTCTGTTACGCTAAACATATTTCTGAAACTATCCAACCACAATATCTGAAAGTTTCTATACCGACGTCAGTACTCTGCATACTATTCCTCAGTTCTAATCAGCCCAGTGCTCAAAGATTTCACACATTTCTCTTTTTATGATCATAAAGATTTCTCTTGTTGTGTGACAGTAACCTACCTGCATGTCTCTGGACAGTGTCACATTGCTCATATCGATGGGCCTGGGGCTGAAAGCTGGAGCTCCTTCAAAAGACAGCTGTGGAAGACAAATTATATTGATGTCCCTTTTTCATACTATATTACCCTGTGGCTTGTTATTGTTTTACAATTCCTTTACTAGAAGTATTTTACAGTTCAATAGATCTGTGCTAGTGTAAATGTCATCATGATATATGTCCCAACCCAGAGATATGTATTATGCATTTTTGTGTGTGTGTGTGTGTGTGTGTGTGTGTGTGTGTG